AAACATATTTTCAATATCATTTCTACATCTTTTTTAATCTCCCTAAAGACGAAGTGAGTGGTTCTTTCATAGGATGATGAGGGCACGTATGAAGTCCCGGGGTTTCAAACTTTCTCTCTTAAACCGAAGCACTCTTATTAATTTAGTTTTAAGCCCTTGAGTGGACCCTGCTTCAGAATAAGAGTGCGAGTTGACCCGCTCATAGAAAATGTTTATTTAAACCCTGCTTCGCCGCTGATACTATGCGCGTGGAGTCTATTTCAACCCATGATAGAATATAGGATATGGTAAGAATAACTTGATTGGATATAAGATACTTAGGTTAAACCGCGTTAAAAGATTGAATCAAATTGATTACTTTACTCAACTCAAGAGCTTATAAACAAATTGTTTTTCTTTACAAGTTCCGATGTGGGACACTTTTAACACGCCCTCTCAAGTGGAAAACCAGGTCATTTTGAATCTATCTAATTGACCACTTTCAAATGAACTCTCTTCCCCTTGATTTTTTGAGTGCCGACACCCTAAGAACCACGAGTCGTTGTTGGACCTCCATATGAGCAATCAGGTTACATATGCCATTGGAATACCTTCCTTTAGGACAATTGGGCTAAATACTAGGGCCGCTAGAAATGAATATCCAGACGGACATCTTAACAAATGAAGCGAACTGAAATTTGCTCCGATATCATAGTGAACAATAGAATAATGGATTTTACTCAAGGAATATGGAGTATACATGAGAGTATATATAGAGCCTGTTTGGAAACAACGTTAGAGATTAGTGTCAGTATTTTGGTTAAAATTTTAACGGTACAGATTACAATGAAAACGCTAACGTTTAACGGTGTTCGTACCTTCGTTCTTTGTTGCTTCCATTTTTCAGGGTTGGTATTATATGTAATTTAGTGCTATAATTTGGTGGTGTAATTTGGAAGTGGTTGCCTAGTTGGTGTTTAATTTGTGTGCTTGATTGTGTTGTGTAATAGTGTGACTTATTATGTTTGCTTGTGCGTATGAGAGGTGTGCATATAAGAGGATGATGATGGTAATTTTGGAAGGTCAATGCCAAATTTTGGATTTCTTATCTATGAATCAAAGTCAAAGTAGGCAATATAACACGGGACGGAGGGAGTACTCCGTATTAACATATTGTACTAATAATACTCCGTAATTTTCTAAATTTTTTTCACAGTATTTCATACATCTTTTTTAAAATTAAAAAGTTATCATGCAATACCAGGCTCAAGTATTGGGTCAGGTTGGATTTTTAATTTCAAAGATCCAAACCCGATTCGACTAAGTTTAGGTTCATGTTTCATTTTAGCACTCGGGTTCACATAACTTTTTCTCAATTTGGGTTTAAATATTTTATGATTCAATCGAATCAATTAAGGTTGAGTTTTAGACTTCGAGTTAGATCCTCATTCCTACTTGGAAAACACGGTAAAAGGAGTTATTTTCAAGCAAAAATATTCTAATCCTACCATGCTAGTCGCTAGACCTGGCAAAACAGAACCGAAACCGATTACCCGAACCGAAATATCTGAAACCGAAACCGGAATGACCCGAAAAATGAAGATCCGATCTATAACCGAAAACCCGAAATGATCCGAATCAATCCGAAACCGAACTAAATAATTCATATCCGATTTAAATCCGAAACCGATTAGATCCGAAACCGATAATATCCAAACCTATTAAACCCGAAACCGATTAGATCCGAACTCGATAATACCCGAAACCGGTAAAATCCGAAACCGATAAAATCCGAAACCGATTAGATCTGAAATCGATAATATCCGAACCCGATTAGAACTAAAATCGATAAATTCAGAACTATGTTTGCCTTTCAATAAGCATATTATATTTTTAAATTTTTACTTTTATTTTACCATTTGAACTAATTACATTACTTGCTCATTCCCTCATAAAATTGATTATCTTCTTGAAAAAAAATACAAAATTTTATGCTTTAAATTTGTTATATGTAGAAATTAAAGATAAGTTATACATATAAATGATAACACACAAACAAATAAAATTTCCGTAATTTTTAAATAGTGAAGTGTGATATTCTTTTTGGGACGAAAGGAATATATGATGAATTGTATGGAATAACTAGATTTTATCCTAATTTCATCTCATTACAATACATTTTATTGATTTGAGAGTTAATTTGATTAGTTTCAAACCAATTCACTCAATATTAGTCAATAAAATTAGATCCTAGTGTTAGCATTTTGAAAAGACTTTCTAGCGGCAGCCTTTGCTGTTATCAGTTTCAAATTTGATCTACACCATTACATTTAGGTGTAAAATTAATTATATTTGACTCTATTAAATTTAATTTTCTCTATTTTCAACCAAATATACTCAATAATTTACAAATTTTGCACTCAATTGAATAAAATTCACTTAATTTTACCTAATTTTACTCAATTTTTACAACATTGTATTCAAATGGAACATAAGACTTTGAATTTATCTTTTATCCTTTCATTTATGTACATAAGTATATTACGGAGTAGTAGATGTGAGAAAAATTTGATATTTCAAAACTAAATTTTAAAATCAATTTAATTATATTAAATTTATATCATAATTAAATATATATGTTTTCATAATTTGTAGTCCAAATTTGAAAAATATGACTAAAAAGTCAAAAAGAGAAGATTATTTAGGGTAGAGATAATATAACTAGAAAAAATATAAAATAATATGAGGTATTGAATTGATGATAGATTGATAAATGTGATAAAACATAAAAAGAAACACAAATAGTTAAATTTTAATTAGAAAATAATATATATCCAAAATATATTTGATCCGAAACCGAAATATATCCGAACCGAACTAGATCCGAAACCGAAATATATCCGACTCAAATTGTATCCGAACCGAAATTTATCCGAACCGATTTATAACCGAACCGTATCTGAACCGACTCGAATCCGAACTGAACCAAAAAATGTATAGAACCGAAATCAAATCCGGACCGAAATTTAACCGATCCGAACCGAACCGATTATAACATATAACCGAAAGATATCCGAACCGAAAAAATCCAACCCGAAACCGATCCGGTTGATCCGATTGCCACCTCTACTAGTTGCACTGGCGTATCCACTTGCAATGAGTAGGAGGCAAATGCCCCCAATTAATTTTATGTGATAAGATTAAAAATATTATTTTTTAAAATTTTATGTATATATGTTTCCAACAAAAAAATTAATGTGATCCCATCTAATTAGGTCAAATTTCATTTTTTAGTAAAGAGTATTTTATTGTATAAAATTACTTATTTATAAAATAAAATTTCACTTTACCAATTTAAAAATATTTTATATTTAATAAATATTTGAAATAAAACTTATTTTTTGTCATTTCAAATAGTTTATGAAAAAAAATCTCAGGGGCGCTGCTCCCGGACTCCTGATCAATGCTACCCCATCTACTTCAATTTCTGAATCCGCCATTGGCCAGAGGTACATCAAGGAGTGTACCTCAATTTACACACCAAAAGTATTTATTAATATTTTGATAATTCGCACTGACTTAAAATATTAATGCGATAAAAAGAAGTGACTTTCATTTTGTATTGACAAAAAATAATAGGATAAAGTTATTTGTACCCCAAGAATTTGTTCCTCATTTTGTACACCATATGGATGCACCAACATTTTGTGTTGGTGTAATAGTTATTTTCGTTAACGCACCAATGTAAACTATTAAAATGTTAGTATATACTTTTGGTGTAAAATGAAGTACAAATTTTTGAGGTACATGTAGCATACTCCACAATAATAATGCACACCTCTAGTGTACATTTTGGACAAGAGTTTGTGGTGTACAAGAGTCACATAAAAAGAGGGTGAGGACTGAGAGGTGCAAGAAGTTAATAAGGATTATGTTATGTGTACTCCAAGGTTTGTACCCCAATTTGTACCCCGCAGTTTTCACCAACACTTTGTGTTGGTGTAAAACTAATTTTTGTTAAACGCACCAACATTTGTGTCCGTGTGAATATTTATTAACGCACCAACATTTGTGTCGGTGTAAACCATCGAAATGTTTGTGCAAGCCTGTGGTGTATAAATGGGGTATATTTTTTTGGTGTAAGTGTAGCACGGTCCAGTTAATAAGAGATGTGAGGGAGGGGGTTTTCATGGCTCTCGCTGGAATATTACTCTGCTCGAGCTCTTGCCTGAGTTTACACAGTAAAAATGGAGTCTTTGTGTCAAACCCTTGCAATCATTCTCTTTTTCCCAGAAATTTGTCCACCAAAAATACCCAATTTCTAAGGATCAAAGAACACAGCTTGAAACGACCATCCAGTTCTGGAAAAGGTCATTTCTTTCTTTCTCCTTCTTCTTCTTCTACACTAATCGTTTGTGTATGTGATTCTTTCTGCTGCAATTTCACAGGCCTTCCCACCGAGTTGATTGAAGAGTCCAAGTTTGTCCCTTTAAATGCGGACGACCCAAGATTTGGCCCACCTGTGAGAGCTTATTCTTCAGTTCTTATTCAAGCATTTCCTATGAATTGATATAGCACAACTTGCTTTCTTAGAATGTTGGGAAGTAGCATGATTTCACTCAACATGTTGTTTTTTTATGCATTTGATTTGTGTCTCTTTAGCAGAATTTCATTACTTATTCACCCTCTAAAAAATCATTAAATTACTTGGATCACAGGCTTTGTTGCTGCTGGGATTTGAACTAGAGGATGCTGTAAAGGTCATTGTTTGTTCTAAGGAGTGTGATTTCAAGAATATATATATATATATATATATATATATATATATTTATATATTTATATTTATATTTATATTTATGGTCCATTTGAACAGCTTTCTCAGAGCAGAGTTTTCAAAGATTTTATGAAACAAAACACTTAAAGTTTTGTGTCTGAGTCAAATTTGTTAGCTCCAATTACTGATTCTCAATATGTTCGTCTGCAGATAAAACAACTTCTGAAAGAACTTGATGGTGAATTCCTAGAGGTATTGCATTTCATTTTTTATTTTTTCCTATCTTGTACAGTTCTTCTAATCTTTTGTTCCCTAATTTTTTTGGGGTATATTTGGAATCCTGATATCATGAATTATACACATTATTTGTTGTGTGAAGTCTAAATGAGGATTATTATTTTAAAAAAATGTATCTATGGGGGTGAATTCTTTTTCCTCTTTTTCCTGATCAAGATTCATTCTGCAGATCATATTCTGCACGGAAGACATGATATCTCGCCCACTCTGGGAAGCAGTGAATACACAACAACCAAATTTTAAAGCTTTGAAGGTTAATGTGTCGTTTGTCAAGGTTTCGCTTTGCTTCTTTCATTTTCACCTTTTGGAAAACAGAAATGAAAAAAATGTTTTTGGAAATAATGTTTTTGTTTCCGTTTTTGGAGGCAAAACCAAATAAGAGAATTTTGAAAAAGATTTGAAACTATAGTTTATGCTTTCATTATAATTAGAGCAATGCTAGGGGTACACCTTTGGTGTACCCCATTTGTCCCCCACCCCCTTCTCCACCACCCATTCTTATTTAATTTTTATTTATTTAATTTTTTTTTGAAGTTTTTGCCCATTTATGTGGTGGAGGAGGGGGTGGGGGACAAATGGGGTGCACCAAAGGTGTACCCCAAGCATTTTCCTTATAATTAGTATAAATAAAATACACCATTTGTTCTTTTTAACTGACGACTATGACTTTCTTTATACATTAAAAAAATGAGTGAACGCAGACATGATGTATTATGTCCATAGTCATTCAACTTTGTAATGTATTACAGAAGTCATAATGGCCAATTAAAAGTGAATGGAGGGAGTACGCAGGATACAAAAAAAGAGATCTGTCAAACACGCTTTATAATTGCAGATTGCAAAACCACTTCCAAGGATATGCTTTATGTCTGGTCTTACCGGAGAGGAGATGATGATGTTTATAGATGCCTTTTCATCAACAGGTAAACCAACCCGGGTTTGATTTGTGCATAAAAAATAAAATCCTAATTTTTTTTATTAATAAGAGTGTTGGTTTGGTTGGGTGTTATTATTACAGGACTTGAAGAATCGGTGTTTGCAGCCGTGGTTCCTAATGCAGCAGATAAACAAGTCGAAGAGCTGATCGAGGAAATCATGGGAGACCACCAAATGCTGGTATGTATGTATAATTATATAAGCTTAATGATGAACTTGCCTTGCATGAATTCTGATATCTACTCAAGTAACTTAACTATCATCATCCATTCATTTTGTTTTGTAGTCTACAAGACACACTTCACACGTCCAGAGTCAGGCTTTTGCTGCAGATTAAGATTTCCATATATTAGTAAGAAGACTAAACACACTTGAATGTGCTAATAAAGCTTGGCCCAACAAGATGGTCATGTGCCCATTGGTGCTCAGGTATATTGTCTTATAAGTGAAAATATCTTTCGCCCAATTTTTACTTGACATCGTTGAGCTGAAGTGCAAATATACTGCAAAGATGATTTCTCTAAATCCTTTTCCACATCCAAACTTGAGCAAAACACGCACACAAGAGAGGGCAAAGTTTGAGCCCCTTGGCATGCTAACACTGACATTTCTTCTCATTTGTCATGCTCAACTAATTCTTTTTCTTCTCAAGGGATTATAGCCCTAAACTAAAGGTATTGTCTTAGAAAATACCACCTATCTCCCCAATTTCCTCCTCCTTTGTGACTAAAGCCGCCTCTTGTTTTTTCACTTCTTCCAAAGCGATAATATAGTATTAACCATAAAAGCGATGGTGAGAATGGTTTGGGTGTTGAAGAAATAACCCGTGGAGTTGTTTTGCTTGGTGAGTATGAAGCAGAAGACACCAATCCCGTAGTTGTATTGGCTACTAAAATTCCAGATCAGAAATACTTCTATATATAACAACAATCCAATTAGACCAAATCAGAACTTATTTCAAAAATACAGAATTGGTTTCAAAGTGGCTAAACTGTTCCAAATCCTCATTTTTATGTTAAGACTTGAAATTGTTCTTCAATTTTAACTAGAAATATGGATTTGAAACAGCAGACAATTACTCCCTAGCAATTGGAAGATTTTGCCAAGATGAAAAAAGTAATTGAAAAAGCAGGTATACTCTCTAAATTGGTTATTCTAAATTAAGAGACATTTAGGCTTTATGCCATTTTGAATGCTCAGTAAACATTACTCCCTTGGTCTTCTTTCATTCTTCGTTACGATTTTTAATTAGACCCACACAAACATGGATTCGAACTGGAACTAGGCTAGGCCTTAGGTCTTTTTTTTGCCCACCGCAAAATTCAAGCCAAACATCATGCCCGCATCTGCCCATATGACTGATTCGAACGGGCCATAAGGCGGCTTGGCCCGCAACTTTTCAATATATACTCCGTAATATATAAAATATTAGTATCTTTCTAATATTTTGTTCTTATTATAATGAATATAATATGATTATTTCACCATACAATATTACAATGTAAACAAGGGGTACACTATTTGGTGTATCCATTTGTGTATTAAGGTTTTTACAGACAAACATAGACACCCAATTATTGTTGTATCTAATATTTTATTTCATGTTATAATGATCTTTTTTCATATTACGGAGTATATTGTTTTGTACAAAAAAGACACATTTGTATACAGAGTAACTAGTATTAACCCCGTGTTTCGCACGGGCTCACATATATACTAAATTTTGACATCTAACAAAATATTATTTATTTTAAATTCTTTAAAAAATAAAATATTATTTGGACGTTTAGTTTGAATAATGTCCAGTGATGGTGGACATTTACTTGAACAATGACCAGTTGTACTACATTGAAAAATTACTATATTTTAATACTATTTAGGTAAATTCTCCTAAAATAAATAATGTAATAAGACAAAAATTTGAAATATGTTATGAAGTTAACAAAGATGTATGTGTGATTACATATAATAGTTTTTTTGAGATGGTGGATAATTTTAAAAATTATAAGAAACATTGTATTATATTTTTTTTGTGAAGGTTTATAAAATATAATAAATATAATGATTTAATACAAAATTGAATATGCATGTGTGGAGTGACATGTGTGTTGTGATTTACATGTGGCATGACACATGTCATTAATATGCACGTGTGGCATGACACTTGTCATCACTATTAGGAAGTATAATTAAATTAGGATACTTCTTTCCTTTCCTACTAGGATTATTCTTTCCTTTCTTACTTGTACTTTGATTACTCTTGTATTTCCTATATATAGGGCCATATCTCTCAATATTCAATAAGACAAGTTATTATCAAATTGTATCATGGTATCGGAGCTAAGGCTCTCAAAAACCTAGCCTCTCTTTTTTTCCGACCGCCGCCCACCATGGCAGCCCCATTGGATCCTTTGGTGTCCTTACGCTCCGGAGTAAAACTGTTGCTTCGGAGTCTCCACAACTTAATCCCAGAAAAACTCACCGAAACAAATTATCCGGCATGGTCTCTCAATGTCCAGACAACTCTTTCAGCTAATCTCCTCCTTGGATGGATTCATGGTCATGAAGCAGCCCCGGCGCCAACTATCTCCAAAAACGATAAAACCGTCCCTAATCCAGAGTATACCTCCTGGACCATCGTTGGCACACAGATCCGCGCCTGCCTCCTAGCGGTCATCAGCCCCTCCGTTCACAAACATGCTCGCGGCTTCACCACATCTGCTGCCCTCTGGGATGCTTTGGCCGCACGGTACAACTCCGTGTCCCCCGCTCATGTTTATCAGCTTCGGGACAAACTCTACACTCTTCGTAAAGGTACCAAAACTATGACACAATACCTTGATGATGTGGCAACTATTCTCTCAGATCTCGATGCCTTGTAAGAAGAGATCCCTGAACGTGATGTGGTGAATGCTGTTATTCGTGGTCTTCCCACCGAATACTCATCCTTTAAGCAAAACATTCGCATGAACAATACCAATATTTCGTTAAATCAGCTTTCTGGATGGCTGATCTCCGAAGAAATAAACCTGGAGATGGAGAATAAACTCAGCCTCACCGAGTCTACCATCACCGAACCTCGCACAGCACTTCTCGCTAC